AATCATAATAATAATAATATACAAAAAAAAAAAAAAACTAACCCATGGATTCAAAGGTCCCCACGTGGGTACACGATTACAAAGATCGCGCATTATGCGAATGACCATTACGCAGCTCTGCAGTGAAGTTGCTCTAGCCTGTTGAATAGGATTAATAAATGAAAAAGGGTAATTAAGTATACGGCGTCAATATCACTGATTCTTCAGAGATAGAGAGAGATAGGAGTGACGATAAATAACCCTAAACTATCTTCTTATTTGCTTTGTGTGGGCTTTAGCTATCCTTCCAGCCTCGTGCCTATGACTCCTAAATATTAGCCCATATCAATATTACCGGGTGTTTATTAACAAATTTATTCCTGGATCATAAAATTGCCTAACATAATATGAAAAAAAAGTACAATGTAGGAAGTGAGAAATTTGCGTTTAAATTAATTGTATCATCTAAATATTCGAAATTAAATTAATATTATAAAAAAAACACCCGGTATAGTTATGACACCACTGTGTGTTTGTGCTTGTCTGTCTCTTTAATAATCAAAACTGCATAACAATATGTTCAACGCGTTTTTTTTCTTTTTTCTTTTCTTTTTTTCTTTTAAATATCGATCGAACAACAAAATACATACATATTTCTTTGCTTTTGCTTTTCTTTTTATTTTGTTTGTTTTATTTATTTTTTTTTTTTTTTATTAATTTATTTACTTCTTATATAATATAAATTCAATTTCATTTTCTAAGACAGACCTAGAACAGACTCAGTCTAGGCTACAGCGCATTCAAATTGATCCAGAATAATGAACAAGCTTATCGCAAAAAGCAATACAAAGTATTATAAAGAAAATAAACAAAACTATCTCTTCTCATATGAGACGAATGGTACGTTGAAAAATGATGTATAAGATAGAGTTTCCTATTATTCTGGATATCGACGGATAAAAGCAAAGCAAATGTAAATGTTAATGACAAAGAACGTTAGACATTTACATGTTGCTTGGATTCCTTGCCCGAAATCATCCAATTTCACATTCGGTTATAGAGTTCCCTTTAGAAAAAAATAAATGTAACATTAGAATCATATATATGTATTTACATATATATATATACATATATCGTGTTTCGACAAACGAACGATGCCACTGGTACATGTTGATCGTTTAACATTGTAGTCATTATGTATACTATATTTATTTGTCTCATCATTCTAATATAGATCGTACAATGTACATATATTAAATTAACAATTCAAAAAAAAAAGAAAAATAGTATCAGTGAACAAAGTCCATTTCCTGCCGGATAAATATAATTAAAATGATCGAATATGAATAATAGACGTTTCAGACGGAATCGCGTTAATAACGAGAAGATAATGATAAAAATAAAATTGTCACAAGGCTGGAAGTTCTAAGACTGCTCTTTTCCTTTTTGTGTTCCTTTTGTTTTGTTTCTTGTTCTCTTTTCTTTCTTTTTTTTTCTTTTATATATATATAAACATATATATATATATATATATAATTTTGTTTTGCGGACAGAGAGAGAGAGGACAACTTGCACGCGTCTCGCGTATTAGGAGAAAATAACAGAAAACAAATGTCGTGAGGGCCACAACAAAATGGCACCGACAATTCGAGATCTTGAACTGAGAGTTATTTGATTCAAACCTGAAACCACTTGGCATGCCTGAGTGCAGCTAAAGCCTCCAAACACTTAGCCTTGGGAAGTACATCTGGTGGATCTGGTTTCGTCACGGCGGGCGTCGCGGGCGTGGTTTGTGGTTGAGCAGCTCCCTGTTGCTGCTGTCCAGCATTATCTGAGATTCCAACAAAGAAAGCACAACACGCTTAGACAACACTTAGAGTGTTTGATCATGCCCAGAAGTTTGGGAATTCCCCTCTATTATTATGTCTAACTTAAGTACATTTTTCTTTTCGTCTTTCTTCTTTTCTTTTTTTTTTTTTGCTATTTTGCTTTTTTTTTGCTATTTTATTTTTTGTCTTTTATCTTTTTTTTCTTTCTTTTCTTTTTGTTCTCTATTTGACGGGTTGCGTCATACAAAATGCCATCAAAACAAAAATAAGCCTGATCGAATGTAGTACCTTGCAACGGCACGTCACCCCAATCGCATACGTTCTTTTTCAGATTATTATAGATTATCTGTTATGGAAAAGAACGACCGATGATTCTATTTTTTTGGTAGTACCATCTCCTAGTATTACTCATTTACTAAAAGATAATACTACCGATAGAATGATCGGTTGGGATAGGAAGTAAACCGCACATTGCATTACATGCGTACAGCATTCGATGACAGAGAGGGTTTTTTCATGGTTAATGCATGATCAAAAAGTCCATAGTTTTAAGATTGCCTCAGCGTTGTTTCCTCATGTCAGAAGCGTGTCCACGTTCATTAAAACGTCCATAAATATATAATCTAGTCATATATACTGGAGACTCTAGCTCAACTATCGTCGGTCAAGTTTTGATATACTTGCTGGTACAAAATGTAACGAAATAAATCAAATTAACGTCTAATCGTATCAAGTTTACGCTCTCTCTTTTCCGTTTATGAATATTATTATTTCCTATTTAATTATCACGTATATTATATATGCATAATTCATCTACATTCACATTCATAAGTGTTATGTAGAAGTTAAAGCCATAACTCGGTCGTGGACACACTAAAACGCAGCTGTATTGAAATGGAAAATAAACTTTATATATTATTCTGTTATAAATGTATGTACACTGGCAACCGTTGAGTGTCCCTGGCTGCCCCTGCATCATCATCTCCTGGTGCTTAAGAAAATCACAAAAATTCCTTCCACAAGGCCATGAAAAGAACAAACGATATTTAGAAAAAGTCCATACGATTTTTATATGATTATCATGAAAAAAATTCTTTTCTTCATACTATAGAAATAATATTCGACATGTAAATATAACGTAGTTATCCTTTTCTTGGCCATAATAAAAATATAAAACGATGAAATCACCTGCTGTTGCCACTGTTTTAGGCGTTTCGCGCATGAGAGGACTGGTGAGCGTTACACTGACTGTTACTGATCCTCCAGAAACAGTAAGGGCAGCAGACTCTGGATGTTTACCGACGTTGTAAGTATCCTCTGGTGCAACGATTTTTAATTGAGCCGGTAAAATTTCTGCAACCTTGTTCAATAATGTCCTGAAGGAACAAAAGACAAATGAATCGATGTTATTAATTAATTTATCAATTGACTAATCGAATCATCGAATTAGTCGATTTGTTTTACAATTTTCTCCCTTTCGCGCGTACCTTGTTGGTTTTTCAGCGCACAACACAACAAGACATACGTGATTGTCACCAGACAACAACAGTCCTTTAGCTAGATTCCCAACACGCATAACACCTCGTAATATTCTCGAATCTTCTTTCTCCTTTTGGAATGAGAAAAGATTACCATCACTACCATCCTCCTTTTGTGGCTGTGTCGTCGTCGTTGTCGTCGTCGTCGTCGTCGTCGTAGTTGTCTTCTTCTTATCACCGTCTTCTTTCTTTATAGTGTCTGGAGAAATTACTTGTGTATTAGCAGGCGTCGGAGTCGTAGGAGCGGCTGTCGTAGTAGTAACCGGAGTAGTTGTTTTTTTACCTGTGAATTTTATCGTCAATGTCCATTGGTACACACGCCATGAAATTTCCATAAGAAATTTGTAAACGATAAAGTAATCACGAATTTGAATCGAAAGAGTTTAATAAACACTCACCAGCTTCCGCTAACGCATCCGAGACAAACTTCAAAGCCTTCTCCGTGTGGGAAACAATTTTTTGAACTGCCAGCAGTTCTTGTTCCTTAGGATATATAGTTGTATGATGAGCTAATACATGTTTATCGTCGGATGAATCTGGTCGTCTCTGAGGTCCAGGAAACATCATTAATGGTGGTGGGCCAGGAAATGGTCTTGAAATTGGAGGAGCACCTGGTCCACGTCCATAGCGTCTATACCATTCATAATATTCACATTCTTCTTCGTATCGACGACGTTCTTCCCAATACATCATTTCTTCGTCCATCATTGGTCCCATCGGACCTAACTGATTAATTTCTTCCCTACGTCGTAAATACTCATCTCGCATCTGTTGTCGTCTTAGTTTTTCCTCTAACATTTTTCTTTGCTTTAAACTCGGTTTCATATCTACGACAAGGTCTGGATTAACCTTCTTCTTATAAGCAAATCGATGGCGCCTTCCCTTCATGTGCATATCTTTGGCATTAGGATCGTTAAAGCGACATTCGCAAAGTTTGCAGTTAAAGCTTATTATTTTTCCATCTTCAGACTTATTCTCTTCGATATATTCTTGACCAACTGGTTGAATATCTTTTTCATCTACGGCTGCTTCTTCAACAGTTTCTTCGGCAACTGCTTCTTCCGTTTTTATTTCAGTCGTTTGATTTTGATTAACAGTACCTAAATTCCCAGCTGTAACGAGAAATTAGAATTAAAACTTTTTTACACGTGTCTAATACAAATTTCTTCTTTTCTAATAAACATCAGAATGAAATATTCCACTTTTAAAAAGTTGATCTAAAACAATTAAATTAATAAATAAATAAACGAGTAATATAGGATTTGGAAGAAACTTACAAGCAACAAAATTAATTTTAGGAGTTGCAGTCACCGTGGGCTTCTTAGTTCCTGTAGTTTTTGCTGCTGCTGCAGGTTTTGGATTCAAAACAGTAGGATCGGCACTTGGGATTGGTTTTCCAAGTTTTGTATGTAATTTCACTACCTTCTGATGTTTGGCACCTCTGATGTGGGCCGCATACGCATCATTGCCCGTACAGGTAACATCGCACAGTTCGCAACGTAAACTATTTCCTGCTCCACGTGCTGGAGGCTGTTGTGGTACTTTTAAAGAAGCTTCCTTCTTCTTGTGCTTTTGTCCTTCCAAATGTTCTCGATAGGTTTGAGGTCCAGCACAGCTGATCTTACAGACATCGCAATAATGAAGTTGTTGAGGCTTGGGAGGCTGCTTTGGCCGCATTGCCTTCATCCCTCCCCCTCCAGTTCCGAATCCCTTCCGTCCGTAGCCCTGCCAACCTCCAGTCTTCTGGTTAGTCGAATTGCTGTTTGCACTCTGTTGGGCTACATACATAGTCGCAGCGCTATAAAGCGCTGCGTCGTAGCCGGAATACGTTGTACTCGCCGTTTCTAAGGGAAATGAAATTGAAACCTCAAACTATGGAGGAGTCAACCTTCGTATTTACGGCAGGACTGTATTTCTTTTTTTTTTTTCCTTTTCTGATATAATTTAAAACCATCGAACCATTTCTTAAAGCATTATTTACATGTCAACACATTCATGCGCATAAAAATAAAAGTACCAAACGTTATTAGATTCTCGAATGTTCGAAGAATCTAACAAAGATTTGTAAACTATTTCAATGCTATATCATTTTAATTTCACGAGGATCAATTTCATATATATTATTAGTATTATAGCCTATTTCACAGTTAGTAAACAGTCGTCATAGGACTTGAAAATTTGGCGACAGAATTATTACAAGAGTAGAAGAAAAAAAAAAAGATATATATATATATATATGGGACGAGGTAAACAAAAGAAAACTTACTATTTGTCGCTGTCGATGGTGTAGCCGCTGGAGTAGCTGGAGCTGTATATCCTGAAGAATATGTAGCGCTTTGTGTAGGATTAGATTGCTGATAAGCTGTGCTCGATGCTTGATAGGTTTTAGCTTGCCCTGTGGTAGTAGCTTGTCTGGCAGTGCCTGTATAGGCACTAGTTGTACTGTATGCAGGCTTTGCAGCTTGATAATGTGTCTCTGTAGTCGTATAAGTAGCAGCTGCAGCAGCAGGTTGTTGATAATAAGTTTTAGTGGCGTCGTAAGTAGCTGCAGGAGCAGCTCTACCGTAACCGTAATCGTATGTCTGAGCTACAGTTCCAGGATTTGCAGCTAGTAAGTAAAACAAAAATGATCAGAGAAACAAATTAAACGGGGGAACTGATCGTTCGTTCGTTCTTTCTTTCTTTCTTTCTTTCATCAGGACGAGAGAGGTCATAGACAATTGATATCAAAAGATATATTTGTAAATTGGATATTCATAGTTGATAAATCAAAATAAAAACTTACCCGCGTAAGTAGTGCCTGTAGCTGCTGCAGCTGCAGCTGCTTGATAAGTTTCGTAGCCTGTAGCCGCCGCAGCAGCCGGGCGTTGAGTATACGTAGCGGCGGTTGCCGCTGGCGTTACTGCGTATCCCGCTTGGCCGGTTTGATAAGCGGCAGCGCTAGTTGCCCTGTTTATCAAAAAAAGATTAAGGAAACATTATAACCAAATAAACATAAGTTGCGAAAAGAATTACGAGCAAAACGAAAAAAGACCTCTATCACAGTCGTGCCCGGGAAAGACGCTCGATGGACGCTCTTAGTCTCAGCTAAGAAATGGCGGCCAAAGCCGGCTGTGCTCTCGCGTGCACCGAAATTAATAAACGTTTATTATTCCCGCCAATGTCGTTACCGCCGCGATTTTTGATTAAACTTAACGCTAGCTACTTAATAATTATGGTAGGCAATCGAATTCGTACCCATATTGCGTTCCGCCGTGAGTAAACCCAAAATAATTGTTCTGAGCCATCCTTCCTCGCAGAGTATCCCGGAAAGAAGGACAATGGAGGAAGTTGTAGGGCGTGCCACGAACTCGATAGAATGGCGGCGCTACCGCGGCTCCGATTGGTTATTCCGTTGGAGCCGGGCGTAATGTAAGTGAGAACACCGCGCCCTCAGTGGCCGTTCTCTCGATAACCCTGCGCCGTCCTTCGACGTACTACCTCCGCGCAAATCAACGTGCTAGCGTACTAACCGAACGACTAACGCGAGAAAGTATTCGCGATACGGCCAGTTATATGCAGTTAATCGAAAAATAACTTACTGCTTGTCTCTCGCTAGATCCGCTCGTTAATGTAGTATGTAGTTTGAGAAATTATCGCGTCTGGTTCTTGTTGCGGCGAGCGTCCGGCGTGCGTTACGAAGGGATAGTTTGCCGGCGACGCGTGCGTTCAATGAGGGCTCTTCAACGCCCTCTATCAACTTTCTTTCTTTCTTTCATCTTCTTCTTCGTCTTCTTCTGCTTCTTCTTCTGCTTCTTCTTCTGCTTCTTCTTCGAAACGAAGCGCTATCTAGTTCTTAACATTACAATCTTTGGAATTTATCCAACTATTTTTATATACATACCTTTCCTTTAATATGCGCAATCGATCAGTTCTATGTATTATCACAAGAATAATCTTCTATTTATAAAACTCGAACATACTTTGAATTTCCCTGCGAATTTCTGCGACCGATGACCGTGTATTTTTCTTCTTTTTTTTTTATGTTAAATGCTTCAAATTATTCATCCTATCTTATCTACTAACAAATACGTATATATATATATATATATATGTGTGTGTGTGCCGAAACTTTTTTCTGTCCCTTTTTAGAAATGTACATATGTATGTAGAAGAATATACTGATAAAATCTTCATTTAAATTGATCTAATTAATACATTGTTTTAATTATTTCGTTTCTTCGTTTAATTTAAATATTAATGTTATGAATTGTTAATGATATTTGAAAGTTGAGTATGCATCAGAATAATCTCCAATGAGAATCCATATTTTTTCTGACCAATGACGAAAGCGAATTTAAAAGATCTAACCAATCGGAATATTGTCCAATGGAAAGAATTTTATAATGGCATATATGCGCAAGGACCAATCATGATATTCTATTTGAAGCTATTCAAAGTTCAAATTTATTATGGCTGTATCTTCATGTTAGGTATATTTAAAAAGCACCCTAATGTTAGCATGCTGTCATGAGTAGTTCAATGAATGGTAATGCGTTGTATCTGATGATTGACGTTCTTTAATTAAGCGAAGTATTTTTAATAAATTTATTTCTACTATTAAAACATGTGATTGAGTATAAAGATGTCGGAAATATATAAATTGAAAAAATTTAAGAACTGCTGACAAGCAAAATATGAGAGAAACTAAATGTTGATTAATAAAATTATGTACATACGTCCGCACAACGAGTTCAAAAGATACATTTTTTTGATATATCAAATTTAATTGATATGATTTTTGTCTGATGTATTAGAAAGATAATTAAAAAAAATCATGTCACCTGAATTAGCAAAGAAGAAGCATACTAAATATTTCCAAAGATTATTACAAATTATGCCAAGTAGATTGGCAGAATTAGATTCTAGCAGATCGGTCATAGCATTTTTTGCTATATCTGGATTAGACGTATTAAATTCTTTGGATGAAATTGGAGATGATATGAAAGCAGATGTTGTGGATTGGATTTATAGACTTCAAATTGCAGGAGCCGGACCACGATCTGGGTTTCAAGCATCTACAACAATACCAAAAGAGGCCTCAAAGTATCAATGTGGTCATTTAGCGACAACATATACAGGATTAGTTACTCTTGTAATTCTTGGGGATAATTTAGATAGAGTGGATAAAAAATCTGTTATCGAGGGAGTACGTGCCTGTCAAAACCCCGATGGATCCTTTAAAGCCATTGTAATGGGATATGAGAGTGATATGAGATTTCTTTATTGTGCTTGTTGCGTTTCTGCAATTTTAGATGATTGGTCGGGTGTAAATAAAGCAAGTGCCATCGATTATATTTTAAGAAGCATTGTAAGTTAATATTTATCTACTTATTTAATTGTAACATTGATCAAGATTATTATTTTTTATGCTTCTATTGTAATAAAGATATATATATATATATATATATATTGTAGTCATATGATGGAGCAATTGGCCAAGGTCCTGGATTAGAGTCTCATGGAGGATCTACATTTTGTGCGATAGCTAGTTTATTTCTTATGAATGAGCTCCATAATGTATTGACCGAGGAACATTTAAATAGACTAAGGCGATGGTGCCTAATGAGACAAGATGGTGGTTTTCATGGAAGACCCGGTAAACCATCAGACACTTGCTATAGTTTCTGGATTGGTGCAACATTACAACTTCTTAATGTTGGATCATTGTCAGATCCTGATGCAAATAAAGCATTCCTATTAGAAACGCAAGATACATTAGTAGGTGGATTTGCAAAATTTTATAATTGTACTTCAGATCCTTTACATACATATCTAGGTATGTTATGTATTCATTATCAGAAAATAAAAAGAATAATGAAAACATATAACAATACTGAGATACTTATATTAGCTATGTATATATATATATATATATTATTAATTTTGTTCATAGGATTATGTGGTTTGAGCCTATTGGGAGAGCCTGGTCTCAGTTCAATAAATGCAGCTCTAAATATTTCTGAACGAGCTTATAGACATTTAAAAGAAATTCATGAAACATGGCGACTACAGTGATGATAATGTAAATGAAAGAACTATTCGTAACCATATCAAGCGCACAGATAAAAGTATATCGAATGGTATATTTACATTTGAATATTGAAATATATAATGTCTGCTGTGTTATGTACGCTGAAAAAAACATTATTCTAAAAATAGTCAATTACTGTCTAATACCAATTAGAACATTATACTTTATTAATATTTCATTTGAAATAATGACAAAAATTAAAATTCTTAAGTACAATATTAATAAATATAAAAGATGATTTAGAAAATTGATATAAAAAAAAAAATATATATATATATATCACACATGAATTTCACTAAAGTACAATATAAATCATGTAAAATAGATCATTTCCTTTTTTTTTTTTTTTTTTTTTTTTTTACATAACCATTAAATTGTAAACTTTTCGATAATAGTCTTCAATGATCCTAAAGACATTTTACATTAGAAAATTTTACACGTTCTCGATCACTTTATTTTCCATTGTTTTGAAACAATCGATTTACAAATCGATAAGATTATCGAAATACAGTATCGAATGGACCAATCAGCGATAAGAATCACTTAGATAATCTTCGATCGATAATGACGTCAGCGGCAAAAATTTCTAGTCCTGCCATCTACTGTGGCGCGATACGAAATACTTATTGTAATCGAAGATAGCCGAGAATATCCGAAGTAATAGAATATCATCGTTCCTGTATCCCTACCAGATCGCACGGCGACAGTTCCCCATGGTAACGAGGGTAGGTTCGCGAAGCACAACAGACGACGTTCGTTCGCGCGAGTGGTGCGATCTGCTCGTGTCCTAGGACGGTCGGTCGATCGGACACGCGTTTTCTCTACTCTACCTGTCGAAAGTTAGTGGCCTCGTCGTTCTTCGCGCCACGTTCGCGATCCTTAATCGTGGGATATTTGATATACGATCTCCGAAATACAATAAAAAGGAAGTTGAATATAAAATAGGAAAAAAGAGGAAGAAAGATAGAAAGAGAGAGAGACAGAAAGAGAGAGAGAGAGAAAGAGAGTGAAAGAGAAAAAGAGAGAGAGAGAAAGAGAGAGAGAGAAAGAGAAAGAGAGAGAGACGTTATTAAGCGGATTTTTTTCCCAACGGGACGTTGCGTCTCGAGAGGAATCTTTTAACCGTCATCGGTGTTGGGTCGCGACCGCGACCCAAAACATCATCAGAGGTTAGTGCGCGCGATAGATTTAAATTGACTCGGCGAAAGTTTAATTTTTCAATGAATTTTTTTTTAAACCTCCCATCGTATTTAATTCATTAGAGATCGTCTTTAAACGATCCTAATATCAAAAGCATTGGATACGCATAGAGACGCGTTGTATTACGCTCAACGAACGAACACTACTACGAGACCATTCAAATCGCAACGTTCACTTTTTTTTTTGTTTTTTTTTTTTATTATTTCGTCGATTCACCGTTGACTCATCTCATTATCCGTCGGTTATTGTTACGTCTTGGGAAGTCATAGTCACAGTTTTTCCCTTTTCATTCTTATAAATATCCAACTTTCCCGCAGTAATTCTAAACTACAGAATCACCACGCATTCATTGTTCGATCAGTAAACTTGTTTAGAATCTTGATCGTGTGCGCACGAGTAAAACTAACGAGTACAACTCCCGAAGCTACTACTACTACTTTTTATGAGAGGAGAACAACTTTGGTATTCATAACGGTTCCATTACTCATATTCGTAAGTAGAAAACTTTATCACGATTAAAATCAAAGTAGTAGTTGAGAATTCAAATGATTAATATTTCTACAAATCCACGGTTGTAAGGTATAATTTGATTTAGTTAAAAAAAAAAAAAAAAAAAAAAAAAAAAAGAAAAAAAAACAAAAAAGAAAAGAAAAAAAACCGCCAACGTACATACAATAAGCAACGTTGATTCCGCTAATTAACCTAAAATTACATTCTTATCTCTATTTTTCTATTCCGTCGAATATAACTCGCTGAAGGACTTGCACATATGTATGTATGTACGTATATATGTATATCTAATTAACAACGATTAGCATTAAATTCTCATTGACCTCGATCTCAATCAAATATTATTACTTTAATAAAAATTAAAAGTAGAAAATAGAAAAAGAAAATGGAAAGAAAGAAGCTTTCGAGTGAAAATTGATTGTAGATCTGTAGATCATTTAAAATAATAAAATAATAATAATAATAATAATAATAATAATAATAATAATAATAATTAAAAAAAAAGAAAAAGAAAAATGAGAGAAAAGGATATCGTGTAGAGATAAGAATTGCGTGCGAATAAAAAAAAGAAAAAAAAAATAAAAGAAAAAAAATGAAAAAATGAAAAAGAGAGAAAGAGAGAGAGGGAGACTTGTTCGTCGAAACTGTGTTCGTTTTTTCTTTTTTTTTGTCTTTGCGATGAAAAAAAGAAAAGGGAAAAATACAAGGGGAAAGAAAAGAAGAGAGAGAAAAAAAAAAGAAAATAGGAACAAGCCAGCTTCGGAATAGATCGATTGCACGTGGCAAATAACGTGCAGCAGCAGTTCTCGTCATCGTAAGGTCGTAGTAACGTTTTGCGAGACTAGGAAATATCCCGTCTGTGACATAGAAAAATAGCTTTACGCGGTGAGCCCGGAATGTATGAGCGCTTAATTATCTATTTAGTCAGTGACACAGAGAGACGACGCGCATGTCGTATGGGAGCAATTTAACGGGGCCGAGTAATATTATATATATATATGTATATATATATGTGCGTGCATGTTACGTATACCGACAAATAGTTTTTATCGCTACGTAGATTCTCTAATGTCGAAAATAAAACGTATTACAAATTAGAATATTTCGTAATAATTTCGTCGAATAATATGAAATTTTTTTTATCCGATCCATATCCCAAAAGAAATACAATTGCTTCCATTTTTCAAATAATTAATTTTCCCGCCAGAATCTAATACATACATAAATTTATTTATATAGTTATTTATATAATTATTATTATACATTCTTACGGTTATTGTTTATTTAAATGTTATTATAGTTATTTAATAATTATATATATACATATATATATATACACGCATATACACAATATGTACAACAAAATGTCGTACAACGGAAACATAATACATTCGCCCTTATGAATCAACGATTGAAATAGGAAACAAGATTTAGTCTTTCTAATTTTATTTGAATGATCTATGAGGATAATCTTTATTCAAAGAGAGAAAGAGAGAGAGAGAGAGAGAGAGAGAAGAGTAAAACTCGTTAATGTAAAATATCGTCGTTTAAATAAAACCAGTAAACGAGTGCAATGAATGAGCCTGTTGTGTGACGTGTGCGCTCTACGCATGCAATTACGATGGTAAAACGAAAAAAAAAAAAAAGAAAATGAAGAAAAGAAAGACAAGAAAAAAGAAGGAAGGAAGGAAAGAATGAAAGAAAGAGATAGATAGATAGATAGATAAAGAAAGAAGATGCAAAAAAAAAAGAAAGGAAGAAAAAAAAGAAATAAAAAAGAGCGTTCCAGTTTTTTCATCCGTTCTTACTCTCGCTCCGCGTTTCTGTTGCATATGCGCGCATGCGCGTTACAAAGTAACTACGGCTTCGTAACAACATTGACCGCGCAAGCGTTCTCTCTCTCTCTCTCTCTCTCTCTCTTTCACACACACACACACATTCGCTTTTCTCTTCCTTTTCTATCTCTTTCTCTCTTTCTCTTACAAAATTTCCTTCGTTTTGCATATTGCGAAACATTGTTACCGAGTCATATATCCTTCGTCTATTTATAAAAAATTAAAGATCATTAAATTTGAAATGATAAATGTCATCATAGAAAGAAAGAAAGAAACAAAAAAATGAATTCATTACAATTCGAATGTTTTTGTTATTACGACGAAAAAGATCTAGTGATCACAAATGCGCGTAAACAAAAAAGAAAAAAAAATATATATATATATATATTAAACGAATGTTTAACATTTAGTACACGTTTAATTTATTGAATTAATATCGATATTACTTATGTAGGTTATGTACATAAATTAATACACGTTAGTGTTACATACATTAATTCGTTCGATATTAATTTTCAAATGATTTTGTAAAATGTACATACGAATTAGTATACTCATAACATATATGGGTGTACAGACACACACATACACACACACACACACGATAAATATATCGGGTAAAGATTCGCCCTAATTACCGTGGTACCTCTTTTATTTTTTCTTTCCCTCCCTTATAGGTGTGAGCGCGCGCTTGTATGCGCATGCGCGTCAAATTTAATTCACGAATGCTTTCCAGAGATGAAACACGGTGTTGCTTTCGTATTCGTATACGTATACACACATACATACGTATAAATGTATATGAAAGGTACGAAAATACATCCCTCTCTTTCTCTTGCTCTCTTTCCTTCACACTTTCTCTCTCTCTCTCTCTCTCTCTCTCTCTCTCTATCTATCTATCTATCTATCTATCTATCTCTTTTTATCTCTTTCTTCTAAGGGTTTCGAAGTTACAACATCGGTATGCGCGTTGTGCTCGTGAAAGCGAGATCTACGAACACGTGTCTCTCTCTCTCTCTCTCTCTCTCTCTCTCTCTTTTTTTCCCTCTTTCTCTCTCTTTTTCTTTTTCCCTTTTTCTCTTTCTCTCTCAGTCTTTTTCGAGAACGAGCTATAAACCCTCGTGTTCTTAAAACTGCCACCGTATACGCGAAATATACCTTTATCCAAGGGGACGAACGACGTCTCGAAAGTCGTATTTAAGGGAACATCGAGTGACCCTTTTGTGGACGTTAATAATCTCGCGTATACCACGTGTTTAGAGTTCCTTTTCTCTTTTGGGATTTAAAAAAATGTATATGTATGCGTGTATGTGTACGTTTTTCTTTAATATATATATATATAGTACTATAGTATATTAGCATAACATAGTACATAGTACTACAGCATATGATAATACTATATAGTATTATATTATAAATTATTAATACAATATAATACATTTATCTATATATACTATTAGAGTATGATATAACATAATACATATACATATAAATATATATATATATATATATATATATATATATATATAATAAATGTATTACCTATACGTGAACGCAGTTACATAAACGATCATAAAGTATATAGACGAAGTTTTGGCGATAAGGCAGGTGGTAGGCATCCTCGAGAAAGATGCTCGTTTTAACAAGGAGGGGTTACTGCCAGTTGCACAGCTGTCGATGAGTAACAGCTGCATCTTGGGGAGAGTGAAAAAGAAAAACTATCAAGGGCGGCCAAGAAAAAGCGAACTTGGGGAGGGTTGTTTGCTTGTTTCCTTACTGGCTCGCTCATAGTCTATCCAATGAAATCCTCAAGATGTTTCAAATTGCTCCCTGCAATTGATCGTATATATGTACATACGTATGTATATATATATATATATATATATATATATATGTATGTATGTATATACATACGTAAGACGTTGACTCAAAGTAAAACTTCAAATGCAATTATATCCTCTCGTAAAGCATGTATTATTTCATCACATAAATCTTAGTTTACTTTAGTTATACGTTGTCTTCTCAAAATAAATAGCTCTTCGTATTATTATCTTCACTCGAGACGGCAAAAAATCTCTTCCGACTCAAATCCAGAAAACTTCTTCAACTTGGGTAGTCGTTAAGTTCGATATAATGTTCGAGAAAGTCTAAAAGTCTCTTCGTGTCGAATATATTTCTTCATGGCTCTCGTTTCCTTTTTCTTTTTTCTTTTTTTCTTTTTTTTTTTTTTTTATAACAATGTAGTTACACACACGTAACCTGCTTTATTTTCTTTTCTTCTTTTTCCTTTTTCTTTTCTTTTTATTTTCTTTTTATTTTTTTATTTTTTTTATTTTTTTTTATTTTTTTTTTATTTTTTATAGGTTTAGGGTAGAAATTTACGATAAGGCTACAAATGGATTGATGTAACGTAAACTAACATTATAGGGGATAAGTAGCATTACCGTACTTTCATCTTCTTTCTTTCTTTTTTTTCTTTTTTTTTTTTTTTTTTTACGATTCGATAGCTGCTCTTGATAGCTCGAACACGAACAATCATCTTTGATGGGTTAAATTTGTACACGTGTATCGTATCATTTTTTTCTAGATTCAATAAATCATTCTTCGAGTAGCTTATAAATTTAAACAGGAAACAGTAATCTGTTATGTGTAAAAAAATTTTGTACACGTGTTAGAAATTATTGTATTATTTTTTCTTTTTTCTTTTTGTTTTTCTTCTTTTTTTAATAACCCCTCTTTCGAGGAACTTAGAAATTCAAGCACAAAACAGTCTTCTATTATATGTAAAGATGTTGTACACGTGTTAGAAATTATCGTTTCATTTTTCCAAGAGTCATTAATTCCTCATTCGAGAAACTTAGAAATTAGATGACGAAAAAACAGTCCACTATTGTACGTAAAAAAAAAAAAAAAATGTTCTACACGTGTTGGAAATTATCGTCTTTTTTTTTTTCTTTTCAAGGTTCGACAACTAATCCTCCTTCGAGGAGAATAGAAAATATCGAGAAGAATGAATAGCAAATTCTCTCACATGCATTTTAATTGTTTTATAGATGTTACAAATTGTGTAGTCATTATTGAAAGAAAAATATAACGAGGCAAATGATAAGGATAGTTTTAATATTAGAAATGACACGACTATGTAATATATATTCATCGCCCGCACATTGTCCTTGTCTCTTCGATCCACGAAGTCTCTTCACGCTTCTGGAATACGTCCACGTTCGTTTTAAATCAAATAATTCGCTCATCGACCTTGCGATGGACTTTCTCCACATTGCAACGTACCTTACACGTCTCAATAATTTGATAAACGACGTGCACGTAAAACATTCCAACTAGTATGCAGCAAAGCAATCTCAATGTGTTTCCTGTATTCTACATACACATATACAACAATATATATACGTATACATATTTAGATATATATATATATATATATATATTATATACACATAGTAACGAATGCTTCTAATCGTATTATCGGTTTCCTACTACACAGTATCATAATTACAAAGTTGTCTTGTTGAAGAAACACGTCTGTGCTATATATGGAAATACACGCGCGCACACACACACATACACACACACACACATATATATATAATCACGTGTAAGAATAATGTAGAATGTTAAATGACATGACGCGTTTTAACATCTGACTCATTGTCATAACTCATAAATGATACGAAACTCTCGAGTACATTAGCGTCCGTCCATATTCTTATCGAAAAAATGTTTAACCTTTTATTAATGCGAATGATAACGAGCCAAATGATATTTACCTCGAAACAATAAAGGATATATATAGGATAATTTTTATTTTATTTCTATTAAAAGGAAAAAAAAAAGAAAGAAGTGGCGTGGTTGGATGGATGGGTCGAGGTCGGGGGGGTGGAGATGAAGAAGAAAGAAAAGAAAAAAAAAGGATAACAGAAAAATATCTATTGGCATTGAATATTAGCCTAAATTCATTCGATAGATAACGACGAGACCAATCGCCGATTACAAAAGAGATATCGGAAAAAGAGTAAAATATAAAAAAGAAAAAAAAAAAAAAGAAAGAAAAAGGAAAAGGAAACAAAAGAAAAATATCAAAATAATCTCTCGTTGAATGATAAAGACCTCGTTCTAATCTCGGATTAGAGTGCTCGCTCGTGGATTTTATATGAAAAGGAAAGAAAAAATAAAAAGAGAGAGAAAGAGAGAGAGAGAGAGAGAGAAAAACGAAATGAGAAAAATTCCTATAAGTTTCATGAGTTTCAGTAAAAAAATAATCTTCCTTCGTTAGAGAAATGTCAGAGAAAAAAAGAGAAAGAGAGAGAGAGAGAGAGAAGACGGATACGGAGACAGAGACAGTGATAGAGTGAGATAGGAGTGGGGAGTTGGCGGGGAGGAGAGGAGGCAGAAAAAAGGACAGAAAACGTACGATCGCTGTCATCTTGATAGAGTGAATGAGAACGTTTTTGAATGGGAGACTGGGTTCAAGTGGTTGGATAAAACGGGAGCGGTAGTAAGATAGTAAGCGATGGTGGTTCTTCTTTGCTACCATCTGCGTCGTCTTTGCTGATTCGTGAAAGAAGCAAACTAACAAAGAGGGGTGGGGAAATATTGGGAGGAGTAAGAGAGAAAGAGAGAGAGAGAGAGAGAGAGAGAGAGAGAGAGAAGAAATGGAAAAAGAGGGTGAAAGAAGAAAAGTTTGCCGATCGATCATAGGCCACCATCCGTGTTCCTGATCGACTAGTCCTTGTTATCGCTGCGAGCCTATCTCGTGCGCATAAAACTCGAAATGTTAAAGAAAAGAGAGAGAGAGAGAGAGAGAGAGAGAGAGAGAGAGAGAGAGAGAGAGAGAGAAAGAGGTAGATATAGAGATAGAGATAGAATCGGTGTTCACATTCCGTGAAAGCCGACTCATTAATTTACAGGAGGAAAGCATTGATCGTGGAAGATTCCGTAACGTGACGGTGTGTTCTATCCTCTTTTATTTTTATTTATTCGTCTCTTTCTCTCTTTTTCTTTTTTATTTATGTTCTCTCTCTCTCTCTCTCTCTCTCCTTCTCTTTCTCTCTTTTTTATCTCTTTCTTTTTCTGATTAGATACGATATATAAAAAGAAGAAAGAAAGAAAGAAAGAAAGAAAGTAATAATTTATTCGAATTTTTTATGATTACATTTTTCCACGATTCGATTTTTTTCACGATCAATCGACAATTTCACGATTCTTTATGATAACCTCTTCAAATGTCGAATGAGAGTCTCTGGTTCGCCTTGACGCTCCTTGCAAATCGATCCAACTGCCAAAGGCTCCTCTCCGTGTGCCTTATAGTCTTATACCTAGTCGCATTCACCTCACTCTCATTCTCTCTGTCTCTCTCTCTCTATATATATATATCTATCTATCTTTCTCTCTCTATCTCTTTCTCCCTTTCTCTCTCTCTCTCTCTCTCTTTCTCTTTCTCTCTTTCTAAGAGGAGGAGCGAATAGAGGAGCGCGATAGGGACGCAGCTACTTGTCCACCCCTGGTTGTTATCTATGATACGAATTTTATCGAAGGGATGAGAAATGTGTCTCGGAGAACATCGTTGAGCACTTAAGAAATTGCGAAAGAAACAAACGATGAATGCGAGAGTATTTTAGAGAAAGAAGAAAAGAAATAAACATATGAACGAACAAAGAAATAAAAAAAAAAAAAAAAAAAGAAAGAAAGACATTGGGAAACCATCGGGAGAACGATACTGTTTATACCATTAATTGTTTTTCTTTTTCTTTTTTTTTTTTTTTTGGTTCTCTTTTTGTTCTTAAGCGACCTTAGTCACGTTTACGAAAAGAGAGAGAGAGAGAGAGAGAGAGAGAGAGAGAGAGAGAGAGAGAGAGAGAGAGAGAGAGAGAGAGAGAGAAAGAGAGAGAGAGAGAGAGAGAGAGAGAGAAGAAAATTAGATAAGAAAAGAAAAGAAATAATAACATTTTTTATCCCCCCTCGAACATTTGTTTTTTCCACTTTAAAATAAATGAATCTAACAATAGTTCTTCTTTACAATCCTTATTGAGATCCTTAAGAGTTATCTAATAATCATTCGTCTTGTTTTTGAATAAAATCGAATAGTTAATCGTTAAACTCGCGTTTATAGAATCCTATCGTGAAACTCACGTGCTAGACTTTCGTATTGACTCTCTAACGTGATATTTCTTCGATATCTAACGAGAAAGTTTATGATATGAAATTCGTTCGATCGAATGTTATTATTATCATTAGAATTTTCAATATGAAAAATCTAACGAGGAAGCAAATATTATTGAGAACTTTATGAGAATATTTTTAAATCGTTGTTAGAAGCCTGAAGCCGATTAATAGATTAATCTGATCGTCGATTAAAAGCAGTAAACGTGGAGGAGAGAACATGCGTTTATGTATGTATATATATGTATATGTACGTGTGTATCTCCTGTATGTCTCTTCTTTTTTCTTCTAATACACAATATACATAGAGATATATAACATGTGTACGTATGTACGTTCGTTAGTTCGTTCATTCGTTCGTTCGTTCGTTCGTTCGTTCGTTCGTTGCATTACATCGTTTTATAAAGTACCTCGTGGTTTCCGAGAGCATTGACTTTACTCGTTACATGCTTCATAATTGCTTAGAAAAGCTCTATGTCTTTTAGGTGGCGTGGGGCACGGCCGTAATGGAATTACAGAGCTGGTTACTCTACCATCTCGTAGCTGTAACCGACTGCAATCAAGGTATACAGCTACTTCCGCACATACATTAGATGGGATCTATTTAACGCGCACTCTCTAATATACTGCGTCTCAAACTTCAATGTAAATTTTATCTGTCTTCTTATTGTTTTATTTTTTTTTTATTTTCATTTTATTATTATTATTATTATTATTATTATTATTTTGTATTTGTTATCTTTTTTGTTTGCTTCGCTTCGTAATTTTATTTAAAAAAAAGTCTTCAATGTTTGCACTTTAAATATTTTTATCGATCGACTATTTCAATTGTTCATACATTTTTTCACAAATATTAAATGATTCATTTTATTCGCTTTATTGAACATCTTATTATTTCTCGAATCTTTACGGGTTATATTTTACGTTTCACGTCACATTAATTATTTTCTCATATATTATATTTTAGTTAAATTTATCTGAGTTCGGCCAACGTTCACAAGTCCACTGGCATTTTTTCTTTTTTGTTATTTAATTTCCAATCCCGTTATCGTCAAGAGGAAATAGCGGTTTACCAATGTTTGATGGTGAGTATATCTTATCGACGACGTCATTAATTGTAATCTTTTATTCTGAAAGAAATCGAGATGAATAGAACGATTTTTTTTTTTTTAATTATTACCAACAATCTTTAAATATAAGCTCGAAAAAAGAATTTGCAATAAAATTAATTCAATTTCTCTTTAGCGTGAGAACAATTTTTTTTTTTCACATATTATTCATTTACAATTTTATGATTGCATTATCTATATAAATATATATACATATATATGTAGTAGAAAAATTAGAAAGTACTTTATTTTATTAGTGAGTAGATCTCTTGATTGTTAAAATTGTATCCATAACCGGAAGGGCGTGTACTTGACCGTTCATTGTTATTGTTCTTCCAACTCGATTTCTTTTGCAAGGTGAACCGTGAGAAGTTAATGACAATCTTAACGGAACTTAACGGCAAGTGTTTCCTGTACGTTCTTAAAACGTATGCGTATAACCATCGCAAAATTTTCATTCAATCTTACTTAAATATATTACAGTGATGCAGTCGGCAGCTACAATCGGTGGTGGTGGAACTTATCCTGCCGGAGGCACCGGAAGTCGTGCTCGAGACTTGGGTCTTCGTGCTCAGAAGAAGCTATTGGGACGAGTGGTCTCCACTGGTGCTGGAAGGTCTCTTCTAATAGATGACGCGACCACTTCACTCTTGGACAATCTTTACAAGCTGATGGAAAGGGCGACGAAGAACAATCCATCCTTAGATAAAAAACAACCGGAGAAAGTTCTCAAGAATATTGTTAAATTGTCCATCAAGGTAAAATTATATCATTACGTTGAAATTAATTCTCTTTAATGCAATGTTTTGAGAGGATACGTATGCGTGTAGTTTCTATTTCCCTCGTGTTTATAAACGATATAATATATAATGTTTACAAATAGATCATACGATGAAACTTATCTTGTAATGTAGTATATCTCTTACATTTGATAAAAGATTAACGTTTGTATATGAATTACGAATAATTCTGTAGAGGAAAAACGAAGTAAGAGTTAAACAAAAAAAAAAAAAGGAACGCAGATATATCAATATATGCGTAAATTCAAAGTTACGTGACACGTTATAAAGGATTAATTTATTTGCTTTGAAATAAATGACAGTAAATTCAATGTCGATATTCGAGCAGACCATAAAAAGAGATGATTATTTATTATTTATTATTCAATTCGCAAATTCTTCGTCGCAGATTGCAAAATGAAGAAGAAAATAAAAAAAAAAAAGAAAAAGAAAAAAGAAAAACTCGTTCAGGGTTTGTCAATTCTTGTCAATTAATTCCAATGCAAATGATTAATGCAATATATCTAGCGTGGATTCTCTTCTGTAGACTCGACGACGTTCACTCTTTTAATACACACAGGTTGGGCTGTTGCAACGTAATCAACAACTCGGTCCAACGGATGATGCAAAACTTGTTGAGATCAGGACAGCTTTGAGAGCAGTAGCGATGGCTGTGGTCTCCTTCTACGAACTCGAATTCAGTTTCGACAAAGCGTACTTAACTCGATCCCTCGAGCGTTGTCGATCAGCGATACAAGGTCTGATAAAGCCTCACTTGACGGACAAGTCTCAGGATCGATGCGACCAGGTCTTCGATTTTCTAAGAAATCCCGAATTTTTAGATTCGGTGTTTAGGCAAGATTCTGAACACAGACCAATCCTCGGGATGCTAGTCAGTGATATAAACAAAGCCTTAGATGCTGGACATCTTTGACTTCTTGTAGATTCCATTGTGCTCGATCGATATTAATGAAATGCCAAGAAAGGACAACGATCGATGGATGGATGAATATCGATTATTGTTCGATCTTTGCATGGAACCATCAAAGAGGGTTCATTAGAAATTTTCATAAGTGTTCACTCTCTGCCCATACGCGTGCGTCGATCTTTTTAACGATATTTTCATAGAATTTACGCACGAACGTACGTACGCACATTAGCCGATTTTGTTTAATGCAACGATCATTGAAAAAAAAAAAAAAAAAAAACAATATACATTTTTCGTATACATACGTATTTTATATGTATACGTGAACGTCGCTAGTTACACGATTGATGAACGTATTTATTGATTTATGCAATAATCGTTCAATACTCTGCTTAATTTAAGAATGTCGGCATATATTGTGTAAACGAATTATATTTATTCGCGCGCCTAATTGCTAGGAATTATTAATAAGTAATTGACATCTCCCGTGGAAGTACGAATTTCGACGATCTTGACGGATGTTCAAAAGAGATCCTTGGAATGTAAAATGGAATCGTCTCACACGTAATGCACGTTAAAAAAAAAAAAAAAGAATAGGAAGAAGAAAAAGAAAAGAAAGGAAAAGAAAAAAAAAAGAATACATTCACCACGCGATAAACATTTTATAAATGATAATCACCACATATCTTAATTTAACAACATACACATTACTTATATGCGTACATTTCAAGGATAATATTGTAATGTGTATATCTTATCGAAAAATTTCGATATCAAGGATACACGCATTTTATATACAGTTATACACCTCCTCTCTTTACACGTTATTTATGATGATTATCTATATAGCGAAATGTTGTACCAATGGTCAATAAATTATTTATAAATGCGAAACCCTTTTTTTTTTCGTTATTATTGTTGTAACCTTTATTATAACCTTTATCGTAAAAAAAAAAAAAAAAAAAAAAAAAAACAGACATTATTTGCGAGACAAAAATGAATTATTCAATAAAATATTTTCAAGTTTAGATTATAAAATTAAAATAAATAAACAAATAAAAAAAAAAAAAATACAACGATAAATTATTATCTTTCACGTGTATCATGCGATCGTTCTTGTAAAGAGATTTCGTTTATTTTCTTAAAGCTGATTCGCAAGGTCTGATATCTTATAATAGTTTACGCCAACAATGATTACAGGCATGATTCTTGACCGATATAAACGAACAAGGTCTTATTTTTACAAGACGAATATACGACTTTTTTGAATTTTTCACAAAGCTTCATTCTTTGTACGTATTAAGTCGTTCATTCTCTCGAAGGAACATCATTCTTTTACGCGATTTTTTTGTGTTCTCTTCTTCTTTTTTTAAAGATAACAAAGTTCATTCAAAAAGAAATTCAAAAAAGTCATATCCTCGCATAAATCTTCATCTTTTGTTCATCAAAATAGAATTGAGAAATTACATCTTTATTCTAGCTGTTGGCGTAAATTTTGTTTTTTCGTAGGAAAAAAAAAAAAAAAAAAAAAAGAAAAAGAAAAATTCCGTATAGTGGCGCCCTTTGAACTTTGCGGTAAAAGATAGGAAGCTCGTACCACCACCTCTACTGATTTTCATATAAACGCTTGAGTTGGTATGTGTTTTGTTTCCATGAAGTAGAAACGAATGTCTGCCTGCTTGGTTTGCCTCTGCCTTGTCTGCGTAAATTGATGCTCTCAGATTTTTTGTTCCATTCCAAAAGCAAGGAAACGCGTTTACGCGAGATTCTCTACAAAGAGAACTCGACACATCGTAACACATTTGAACATTCTTAATGAGCTTTGAATGAATAATGATCATATGTTCAAGAAATAAGAAAGATATGTGTTCAGCCATTTGTGCCAATTTTCTTTTTATATATTATACATTAGAAATGTCAAAATTTTATGAGAAACGTTTAGAATAATGGCAAACATTTAGTATTCGTAATTCAGGGGGTATAATTTAGAAGCACGCGGTCGTATGAAACATCTCGAGATCTTTCAAAATAAATTCCTAAATGTAAACGTTAACAGATACACGCCAATCGTTTATCTACATCAAGAAACAGAAATAGATTATATAAACGAATATATTATAAAGATTTAATAGAAAGATCTTATCAAGATCAGTTATAGCGTAATGAATCATTAAAAAATATTCTAATGTATAAAAAGCTACGATCTATCTTTCGAGTTACAAACATAAATTATTTTATGATCCTTCTTCTCTTTAATACTTAACTTAATATTTAATATAATTCGAATATATATACATAGATTTTTCTAACTTATTTTCCTATAATTAAGATTATTAATTAATAATATTAGACAAAAAAATTAGAAATGTTTCTCTATTATTTTTATACTAAAGCAAATATTATAAAATTTCGAGATTATTTAAACAATCGACGATTTGTACACGGAGTACAATAAAATAATATTTAAACAATAATCTATTTATTTGAACATCACGTAACATGCGTTAAAAATAATATAATATTATTAATTTGATATCTCGATAGATTTAAATTTTGAACTTGAAGTTGTTGCCTGTTTATAATGTCAATAAAAACAAACGCCGTAGTAACTTTGATAGTTATCGAGTCAGTTGTCTTTTACATTCTGTCGAATAAACATTGAAATTTTGTTTGGAGTAGAATATTTATCGTACGAGGATTAAAATATACTCAATGTAAATAAATTTTATATCAAACATTTCTTCAATATTTTCTTATTATAACAATGATAATAATAATTTTGTTTTCACTTTTCTGTTGCAATCATGCACGAAGCAATAAAGGAATCGCAAAGTGGTGTATCATTAAACAAAGAAAAAGTAATCGCGAACTAAAAGCATTGTTTGTTCGTTCGCGTTTCGTTGAATTTAAAAAGCAAGTGTATTTGAATCGATTGCCTGTAAGATGTAATCATTAAAATCAGTGTTCGCAATGTTTTTTTTTTCTTTTTTAATCGTACAGATTGTATTAAATAAAAGATAAATTAGTAAAGTCTCGCGAATTAAATTCAGTGACCGTCCGTTAATAAATAACTACCGCGTATTAGAATCAATGAATCAGAGAAGAGGATCTCAACCAACTTCGATGTCGACCTATCTCATTTTCAACTATCTACGAATCCAACTACCTTCAATTTCGACCTAAATCGCAGACGAGTGTTTTGGAGCCATCGCGGAACTTCTTAAGTAGTAAGTGAATTTGTAAGTTCCTACAATTATTTAATTGTATTGAGAATGAAAGATCCGAATTGGCACAAGTGATTCGATTGAATTGATTAATAAGTAAAAGAGCTTTGATAATTATTGATAAAGTTTTCTTTTGCATTTCGACGTATAAACATCGAAATTCACTTATTCCATGCGGATAAGCTTAGACAATTTATAATTTCATTTATTTTCATCTTTATTTATTGACACGTATAGTCATATAATAATTTAAAACATTATTCAAGATTAATTATTCTAGGTTTTTTGTTTTTTTTTTTGGATGGAACCTTTGAATATGGGCCTTTAGGCGTGTTACTTTATCTTAGTATTGCATGGAACTCTTGTGTAGAACCCTTGGGAGGGACTCTTGGGTGTGGGCCCTTGGGAGGGGCCTTGGGCGGGTCTCCTTTCTTCAGTAAGGAAAAATCGAGCTCGATTTTGGTACTCTAGTTTGGCTCGGGTGGGGCGATCTTCGAGATGTCCACCCCTCTTTCTCTAAGTTCCATCGTTCTCAGACGCGTGCGCATTCCGCCTTTTATCTCTTTTCTTTCTCTTTTTCTCTTCTTCAACTCATCTCTATTTTTCTTCTTATCTTTCTCTTAATTTCAATTAATCCTTTTTTCTACTAATTTTCTTCCACTTATTCCTTTTCTTTTCTCTTTCTCTACTAACCTTCATCTCTTTCCTATTAAATTTTTTCCTCTAACTATTCTTTTTTTACTCCTCTTTATTTCTCTTCTTTTTCTTTTCTTTCTCTTTTTTTTCTTCTTCAGGCTGAATCATCGAGGGATGGATTTGTCTGCAATTGAGTGATTAAGCAACAAGGATTTGATATATCGACGCGGATATCCGATATTTCGTTTAGGGGCTCGCAATTTGTAATCGTGAGATTACATATTTAGACAGAAGCTTACGAAACCTTTCCGCATTATATAAAGAGAGGAAATGTCTCCTTTTTTTTGTACGAATAGAATAAAAAGAACATCCGTGTCCGCGTTAGTGGACACCAGATGTGGATATTCATGGATCCGATTAAATGGACTACCGTGGACTTCATTTTATTGTTCGAAATTCGGTCCTGTTATTCATAAGCGAGGACTGATCCTCTTACAGATAGCGTTGGTAGCTTAAATTCTCTCTAAATGGCACTGTCATTTCGATACCGCGAATTTTAGAGTACAATCATTGTCAACCTCATCGTAGGTCTTCAAATGCAGCAACCTCCACGTGGTGAGATTTGGATCTTTACTATTTACAATATATCGAAATGTAATTCGAAAGCAAATACTATCAGGCGAATGGTTATACATTTTCGATCTAATTCTAACTAAACATCATTAAAGTATTAATACTGTACGTTACTAATAATATTTCAACAGATAAATATATTAGATATGGCAGAATTCTAAAATAATTTCTTAGAGAAACTCATTGAAAAATTCGAATTATACCTTACTTGTTCTCACTTATACTTATCAGATTAAATACTATATTTTCTATTCTATTTACGTACGTCATTATATATGCATTAAATATTTTCTATCTATCGTTGTTATTATTATCTCTTTTATATGATATGTATTCTATCGCGAATGATTTCCAACTAATGGCTACTTAAATATCCTTTAACTATTAGTATAAGTAATTAATAAGAAATTCAAAAATATAAAAACTTTCTACAATTAACAAATACTTTTCAATTAGTCTATTTTCAGAAAAGTATAATATAGCATATGGTTTTTTTCTTGCTTTTATCAGACGCGCGATTCCACGTTAATCCGATTTTTAATGGGAGTTAATAGAATATATAACTTCTACAAGCTTATACACCGATAAAACAGATACATAGTGGGGATGGTATTTCCGTATTATACTTGTAGTTCATATCTTGTCCATAACTGTCGCTAAAGTCACATATGGTACGATCGAAAAAGGTGGAGAACTGTTTTATACTACGTAAATATATCATCTTTAAAATCATATTTGAAAAATCCCATTTCGTATTTGTTGTATTACAATATGACGTATACGATAATCAAACACATTATAATTTTTTATTTTCATAAATGCATGAAAACAAATATTTACCACGAAATAATAATTAAATATAACATAAAGAAATATCATTTTTATGACTAAAATAGATTTAACAAAATGTCAGCGAATAATGATTACCATAAATTTACAAATGGATAAAATCAACTTGTTTTTTCTTAAACAAAAAGATATTAAGGTAAAAATACATAAATTACCTAAAACGAAATAATAATAATAATAATAATAATAATAATAATAATAATAATAATAATAGTAATAGTAGTAATAATAATAATAATAATAATAATAATAATAATAATAATAATAATAATAATAATAATAATAATAATAATAATAATAATAATAATAAAGCGTTCGTGTTTTAAAATATATTTTGTCAATAATGCTAACGTGAAAACAAAATTGAAACTTAATTTATAGCATGTGTATACCATTATTTTGATATTTATCCAATGTATATTACTTTCATTATGCGGTAAAAAATCAATTTGCTTAATTGATGATAAACTTACTAAGATTACATAAGATATACTCAGCATATGGAAAAGGTTTTATTACTCTGGTGTGTATCAATTAAATCATATTACATATAAATATGGAGTAATAGTTCTCAAGCTTATTTTATAAGACAATTATAAGAGAGAAAGAGACAGAGAAAGAGACAGAGAAAGAGAGAAAGAGAGAAAGAGAGAGAGAGAGAGAATCTAAAGATTTATATTATGGAAATAATAATTATTGGTCTGTAATTAGCATTAAAGATGTAATAATACAATTACACTGATATATCCATTTTTGTAACAAAACTTCATTGTATGTATTACTTTAAGGCCAACATTGAGGTTTTAGCCGAATAAATTGTACTTAAAATTTTATACATGTATTCATTGTCATTGTTATTCGTTGACAAATACTATAGATATAAGTTTCCATTTGTATCTCAATGAACATATAATAATATTGATATATGACAAAAATTAATAAATATTTAACTTATAATCATGATTTTAATTTTGTTTCTTTATATACAATACAAAACACATGCTTTATTAATCTAAACTTGTATTAGTCATAGAATCAAAATCTATCGACCCCGTCCCCCCCCCCTGCCCTCAAGACATTACTTTGAGCTAGTATAATGAGTTTGAAGTTGACTATATCATGATCGATGCGTAGGAACATTCGGCATTTATTATTGTGCAAAAAGATGTGCGAATGTTTGGATGTTTCTTCGTATCGTGTATGATCAACTTCATATTACTCATCGATAGTCATACAATAGGAGCAAATATGACCAATCCAGGCCTAAATTACTTGTTATCTAGCTGCACGATGAAAAATCGATAGGTTATAATTTTACTTTAGTTTAATAAAGAGCTAGTGCAGTATAATAAGTGCTTACAGTATAATATCTCAGCCAATTGCAGTACAAACAACATTAATAAAGGTCTATAAGGACATTGCGTTCAGATATATTCCTAACTATATTAATAAAATCTTGTTTACTTGATAAAATGTATGAGTAGATAAGCGAGTATGAAGATATTTATCCAATTACGCATAATATATATGGCAGAAGAAAGCTTAAAGAATCAGTCATCTCCTTTTCATTTCTCTCACTTATCTTCCCATTTTATTTCAATATCTTGATATCGTAATGCACCCACCATGTTATAAATATGAAATTTGTCATATTTATTTTTATATTAATAAAGTCGAATGATAATCTAGTTTATTTCATTAAATCCTCATATATTTTCATTGCCACAATCCTGCATAATTTCCATACAAATTTGCGGGAAGTGGTCCACCAGCAGTAAATAATCGTGTACCTGATGCATCATAACAATGGGTATAGATAGCTGGTGTATATTTAACATTTTGAAAGCCATCTATATATTCCTCATCTGGAAACTAATTCACCCAAATAAAAGATATTATTAGATATCTTATGGTATATTTTTTTTTTTTTTTTATTAAATAATTAAACAAAAGTATTTGCAAACTCACTACATATCCTTTTGAGGCCTTCAATACGACAGTCCTATTAGAATTGATAGATGATTCAAGGTATTTCTGAGCTCTGACATCATAGAACATAAGCATTCCAAGTCCTGTCCCAATTGTTAAAACTGACCCTTGAAAACTAGCCGATCGAATACCACAGCCACTATATCTGTTTAGAAAAAAAGAAACCAATTTGGTTATGGTTATCTGTGAATGTGCAATATACATCCTAAAATATCTTTAAGTTATTGTACTTTACCTTGAGGGTATCTTTTTAATTGGCTGTAAAGTTCTTGCATCTAATAATAAAGTATAAGAACGACAACCAACCGCGTAAACACCATCATCTTGTACAGCTAAGCAAACATTTTCTTGACAAGCTGGTAACTTCCGTGATATTTTTTGTTTAAAAGTATCAGCAGACCAGATATGTATGAAACTATTTAAAGATAGGGCAGCTATCTCGTTATATGCTTTATTAAAAGCAAGTGCTCGAACCTTCTGAGCTGATCTACATTCCTTCACGCATAAAGGTTGAATTAATCTATAATACAAATAAAAAAAAATTTATAAACAGTATTGCTAGAAGCCAAGAGAGTTTATTCATACCAATAAAATATTATTTTTTATATAATGTTTTCAATCAACCTGTGTGTAGGCACATCTGCTTTATCAGGTGCTTCAGCCAGATCGCTATCAATCCGCCATAAAGCCATTTTTGTATCTCTAGAGCCAGACACTAAAAATTCATCATCTAGCCAACACATATCAAAAACCCAATCTCTGTGACCAGATTCCCCGACGCAAACAGGATCCAAAGTTGGCAATCTATATATTGCTATTTCATTGCTGTTTCTGGCTCCAGTAGACAGAAGAGTCCTATAAGAATGTTATGCTAACAGAACAGACGCAATGACCTGGTACAGACAAGTAATAGCAACATATACTAATATTGAAGATATTAATTAAATTTAGATGATTACCTAGAAGGATTAATTTGAACAGAGTGTATACCACATTGCTGTTCAGGAAGAGGACCTCCACCTGGATTTAACTGCCTTCCATGAAGAGAAGGTATTTGATCTAATTTCTGTGTTGCTACATCATAAACCATCAGTTTATTACATTTTGTACCAAAGACGACTTGTCTATCGCTCAACCATTGCGAACAAAATACTTTATTCATGTTATTTAAGCTAACTGAGTATTCTTTGAATAGGTCATGTGTTAGTATATGTCTCGAGCCATACTCCTGATTAATTTTTCGTACTTCCTTAGTATTGGTTTCTCGTGCACGTACATAGTCCACAAAATTAAAAGACGTTCTTAGAAACTGTCTACCTTCTGTGATGGTTTCACTTTCATCATCGCTCGATTCATAACATACAAAATCTTCAGGTTTATCCGGTTTCCTGTTTCTTTCTAGTCGTAAAGCTAATCTATATAATATAATATATATATATATAACAAATCTCACAATATCAATATAATATATGAACAAACAATAAGAATATAAAAAATAAATTTATTTACCGTCTAGCACGACGTTCTTCCAATCTAGTTCCACTTGCACACGGTGGATGCCTTCCATAAACAGTCATTCTTTGCGTTTCAGCCATTATTTATAAATTATTTAATAATACCTATATGATCTGTAAAGAGAATTACTATTCTCAAACTTTTTTTATTCTTTCTAGAATGTTTAAAAACACGAAAATTATGTTTCCTTATTTCTAAGAACACAAGGATTGATTATATCACACTTTATGTATTTAAGTATTATTAACTATAAGAGCAGTCTCGTGGAACTTATATCTGTCACATCTAATGACAATATATTCGCCTTTTACAATTATTTATTTCTCTTATATTAGTTGCAAACATTTGTTTGCTGATTTTTTTTTTTTTTTCGTCACAGGATTATTCCTTTGCTTTTTTTCCCTTTACTTATTTATGATACAGTTCTATGCGTTATGAACAAAGAATATACCCCAATGAAATCGTCTTTTTTTTTTCTCTCTTTTCAAATTCTTCCTTATTTCAGAGCATTGAAAAAGTTAGAAAAACTTTAATATCTTATATGCTCGTTTAAACATATGACATGCTATGTCAAAATGTTCGTATTTTCACTGTTCACACAAATAGTAACTTTCTTCAAAGTCAAAATGAAACACTTGTGTAATAGATGATTTTTATAAATCTTTCTTGAACGTCGTCGATCTGTCGAATTATATCTTATCGTAGAAAATGTTTTGAAAATCGTTCACCGATGATTAAAAACGTGCATCTAGTCCCATTTTATTTGAAGAAAATATAGATAATTGGAAGAAATAACTGCTAAATCAATCGAGCTCGAGTATAGTCGCTCGTTGCCTAATCGACTTCCAGCTTCCTCGTACGCGCGTTTCTTTTCATAATAATTAAAATTTTCTGCATTTAATAGACGACGACCTTACCGATCTTGTAAATCTCTGCAAAAGACAAATGAAGAAGTGCACGAGAAGCCGACAAAATACATGATAAGCGAGACTTTTCGAGAACCAACCAACTAATATACCGCCATGTTGAACGCAATAGGTCGGACAAGTTCTGTTCGAAGCAACCGTTTAACAAAATATTTTTGTATTTTTTCTCTGTGTCAGCCATAATCCATTAACTAGAAATAAACAATGAAAATGAGAATCGATTCATTCGATATAATTCGGTAATCAGATGTGATAAAATAATTATTAACTATTAATTAGATTGATTTTATCGCATGTCAACATCGCCTGTTTCCCCCTCTACGTTAGATTATTACAGCTGACGACGAAGGAACGCCGTCTAGCTATATGAAATTTCTTCTGAACTTTGCTTAAGATTTATAGACCGTCGATAAAATGTCGTACGGTAAAAAAAAAAACAAAAAAAAGAAAAAGAAAAAAGAAGAAAAAAGAAAGAAAAAGGGAATAAATTAATAAGGGAATTTAAAAAGAAGAAAAAAAGAAAAAAAAAAGAGAATTTTTTCTTTCTTTTTTGTTTTGTTTTTATTTACAAAATATTCGCGATCATAAACGACAAATAATATTCCAATCGTTTCAATTTTCATTTGACTTTCAAATATTGAATCCTGTTATAGATTATTATATCTTTTGCGATATTAAAAAGTAAAATAATTCTTTCGACAATGAAAATATTTGTTCATAATTGATGAAATTTCATTATCATTTTTGTCACGCTCTATGTTATCAACAGAAAGAAATCTTTATAGGAATTAAAAATCAATTATTAAATTGTTTCGACGAGAGCTAATAATCTTTTTAGGTTATATTATTATTGAAAAAGAAAAGAGAGAATACAGCCAATTAGCTCAATAGTACTTGCGTTGTATTACAATGACACCACGAATATTACATCGCAAGTAATATTGATTGCCCGAGTCTCACCACGTGGAGGTTGCTGCTTACGGAGACCCTTAGTTCTTGTAATAAGACGATCAAAATTATAATTAATTAAGAATTCGAAAATTTCTGATGTGTGAGAATTACTTTGAAAAATTTATTGATGATTTTAGTACACGATAAATCAAATGGTTATTCAAGATGGATGACTTATTAATCCAAGAATTCGATTGGTTTAAATGCTGACTATGTACTTTATATTATTAAATAAAAATATCGTTCACAGTATCTATAAAATTTGACGCTTTTTTTATATACATAATTTTTATGCAATTTTTTTTGTTAAATTCCAGCTAAATATTCAAAAAGTAGATAATGAATAAAGAAAGAAATATTTTAATAACGACGATTGTTTTACAAGACTGTTTAAATGTAACTATCATGGTAGGTATAATCTGATTGGTCGATCGTTTACCCGCGATAATAGAATAATTATGAATATTCCGTGACAACGTGCAATCGAACATAATTTTTTAAAGAATAAATAATATTAGGACGATTTATCGATATTAAATGTTTTATTTTTTGTCATTTATTTTCGCTCATTTATATATACATTATTATATTTAGTACAAAAATGTTCATGCACATACTGTTCATATGAAACAGTTTCTACATGTACCAGTGAATAGAGATAAAGATTCATTTGTAATAGTGTAAAGTGTGGATTTATGAATTTTTATTTTCTAATCAAACACATTCCACATACTTAACGTATAATGTAAATCGCAAGAGGATTCAGAAATTTTAATGTCATCTTAGAACGTACAAAATCTACTGATCTCTCACTTTGATGAAATTAAAAATAAATTTTGAAATATGTAATATAACTGTAGATTAATTAATTAATTAATGTAATTTTGTTGTTGTATGTGATGGATAAAATATGTGTTTTCAGATACTTAGGAAATGAAATATACAATTTTGTGATTAGCTTTCCTCTATAACTTATTTTAATAAACATAACCTCACCCACATATAGATTTTGATAATCTGTTATTGCAAGAAGCAGAGAATTTCTTTATATAAATAACATCATCTTTCCATGAATAAACACATATCTTATTTGAGATAGATGTCATTTAATAGCTTTATTATGGTGCACGTTCCTTTAATCTTCATCGCGTTCAATGCACATTTTGAATAACAGAATGTGACTATGCAAAATTTGTATTGCATTTATTTAAAAGATTTGCATAAGATAGTGTAGGAAAATATTTCAATATTGTAATACGAATGTGAGATACAACAGATTATATATCTTACTTTGAAGTAAAACAAATGAATATAATTTTTATCTCAAATGAAATATATTTAATGTGTGAAAGTAAAAACATTGATTTTCTATTAGATCCGTATATTAGACGTTTTGAAGTTCTATACACGATCTTATTTACATCATGAATTTGTTAACCAACGAACATGTATATATCGGTGTAAGCCATTTATTCATATTGTTCACAATGAAGTTGTAATATAAATGAAATCTTTCATTTCCTAATTTGTTGGAAATAAAATCGTATGAAAAACTTCCAGGACACAGGCCATTTCTTATTCGTAATAATATAATTAGCTTAAAAATCTAATAATTTTACATCAGGCTATACAGAAATTACCGGCCAATTTACTTCCTCTCCCATAAATAGCGACACGAATATCTTGAGCATTTTATTCTCATCATGTGTTGCGAGTATGAACGCATATTTAAATATGACCTTATTTTACACTCCCTAGTCTTAAATGTAGATCATAATAATGGTCTGCATTCATAACACATATGCGTGTAGAAATGCTAGTATCATCTATGTCGATACAAACAAAGATACTAAGGGAACGATCATAGATTTTCCAAATGTGCAGCTTGAATATAGACCATGATGTCTACACATTGAACTTCATAATATTCTATTATATTGAACTCCGTCGTTCATGTGTGTGTGTGTGTGTGCGCGCGCGTGTATGTGTGTGTCTGAGTGTGTGTGTTGTGTGTTTGTTTGTAAAGAATTATGTAGATAAATAAAAATATTACGCTTAAAATTAGTGAATTAAGTATGTACACATAATACACATTATTCGGTGGTTGTGATGGAGTGTGGATACCCAAAAACACAGACTCACTTACAACCCGGACGATAAAATGTGCTTAATCGCGATTTACGGAGAGGCCTACGACTTAAGAAATTGTTCATGCACTAACATTTCCAACATATGATCAACTCCACAGCGTTTTCCTGGAGAACGTTAAATAAGGACAATACATTAATATATACTTTTACTGACCGAGATCTCGAGTTTCAATACACACTATTGTTGTAGTCAATATATTATTAATAACAATGTGTGACTTACGCCGGTTTCGAGGCCTTTGATGTTGAAGTCAAAGATACTTTTTGTTTTTTACTGTTTCGAAGTTTTTTCACATATGCCTCTATTAAATGAGCTATCTTCTTAGGATTGATTTCTCCCGTTTTGTTATGGCATATCTACAAATGAAAGGAATAAACGTTTCATTGTTTTTTTTTTTTTTTTTTTTTTTTATATTGTATAGAAATTTCATAGTTATATTTTATTGACGATATCTCTTTTATAATCACATTTACCTTCGGTACAGCTTTCCGCATAATATCCTTATATTCTTCCTTTGTAACATGCTTTTTGGTATAATGTGGCTTTAACACTAACTTTACTTCTTCTACGACTCTTTCTTGACGATTTAATTTCTTCAAGAACTATAACGTATGCTTAATGCGTGATCATGAAATTAATAAAAAGTTCATAATAATAAATTAGATTACAAACCTTATCTTTCACTTGCATTTCTACCGCAGAACTAGGAAGATCATCCAAAATTTGAAGTTGATTTTCGTCCATCCGCACTCCGACTTTTGGATTGGTAGCTAAAATAATAGAATTTTATAATAAAACATTTGATTTCTTCTATATTAAATAATCATCTCATATAAAATGTATTCACATGATTACGTACATTTCTTCTTCTTTTCAGTAGGTTTTTTACTCCTATTTTTACTAACTGCCTTTGGAGGCGGTCCTGCTGCAAACAACGCATCAAAAGCATCTTTCTTCTCTGTACTTTTATTTGGCTTAGATGCATTATTCTTATTATTTGTGATGACTGGCTGAATAGAAGGACTATTATAATTTCCTGGACTAGGTGGATCGAACATGCCATCGCTTAAACTCGATCCTGGCGAATAAGGCGAAGACATATCGACAGCATCGTTGGTCACTTCCATTATTACATCGCTGCCATTTTGTCCCATGGTAGAACTGTTTTTATTTTGATTAGATTTGGAAGCACGCGTTAATGTAGACTTTGTACTATTAGTAAAGATGTTAGGAAGTTGCGGTCTATCGCTTGTACGTTGTTGCTTCATTTGATTACTTGGTGAAATGCGATTTGACTGAAGGGATCAGATTTATAACATAAATATTAGTAGAATATTATGTATGTATATATATATATATATATATATATATATATATAAAATAGAAAAAGGTATATAAAGGTAATGTATGATATATACCTGTATCAAATTACGTTGACTTGTATTAGGTGTGCTAGTACTAAATCCAGTGCTTCTTTGTACTGCAGCAGCAACAGTCGCCAAAACAGGATTAATAGTAGCAAATGGATTACTCGTAGATTGTGCATTTTGTTGATTCTGTTGTACTTTTGGTGGACTACTACATGATTGTACCGTATCCGTTTGACTTTCTGCTACCGGCGATGAATCTCTTTTCGGTGATGCTCTTTTAATCGTAACCATCGAGATTATTTTCGGCTTTTCAAGTTGTTTCTCTTGCGTTGGTTGATCTTGTTGCTGCATAGGTTCGTCAGGCATCAAGGTGATGTCGGTGGCATCATGACTTCTCGGTGAATTTCTTTGACTTTTGTCTCTTTCATCGTTCGACGTAGCTTCTTGACTAACATCAGGAGTCGGTGATCGAGATTTCGTGGGATCGAATGGATCGTACGCATCGGGAGAGGTTGGGGGTGAAGTAGGTGGATCAGGTGGTGTGTTGGGACCAATTTTCAATCGCAACTCTAATTCCTCTTGAGCTCTCATTTCAAGTTCCTCCTCGACTCTTTCATCCATTTCCTCTTCCTCTTCTTCCAATAAAGGATTCATCATGGAAGGTCTGAGATTGCTCGTTTGCTTATTTATTGAAAATTTAATTTGCGGTTCGGGGGGTGTCTTTGGCCCTTGTGAAACGAATTGCTCGCGAGGAGGAGATGCCTGTGGCGGACATTGTTCCGGAGTAGCAACCTCCTGTGCCTGTTTGTCATCGTCATCGCTTAAAACTATAACGTCGCGAGGAGAAGGAGTTTGTTCTCGGAAAGGTGATTGGTCCAGGTCGATTACAGCAACGGGTTTCTTGGTAGCTGCGATTTCTGCTGCCTTCGACTTCTTCTTCTTCTCTTTCTTCCCTTTGGGTGATT